ACACACACACACACACACACACACACACACACACACACACACACACACACGATGGAGTATTACTTGGCAATCAAAAAGAATGAAATCTTGCCATTTGCAACTACATGGATGGAACTGGAAGGGACTATGCTAAGTGAGATTAGTCAGTCAGAGAAAAACAAATATATGACTTCACTCATATGAGGACTTTAAAAGACAAAAGAGATAACCATAAGGGAAGGGAAGCAAAAAGAATATAAAAACAGGGCAGGGGACAAAACATAAGACTCTTAAATATGGAGAATAAACAGGGTTACTGAGGGGTTGTGGGAGTGGGGAGAGGCTAAATGGGTAAGGGGCATTAAGCAATCTACTCCTGAAATCACTGATGCAATATATGCTAATTTGGATGTAAATTAAAAAAATAAAATTAAAAAGAAAAGCATACATTTTAACACATGTAAAATGAGTGAAATTTGTGATGCATAATTTAAATGATGTCAGACTTCTACTGGTGAAATTTTTTTATGTCTATTTTGAGAGAGAGAGAGAGAGAGAGAGAGAGAGAGAGAGAGAGAGAGAGAGAGAGAGAGAGAGAGAACCCCAAGCAGGATCTGCACTGTCAGCACCCAGCCCAATGTGGGGCTCAAACTCACAAAGGGTAAAATCGTGATCTGAGCCAACACTAAGCCATCACACACTTAACCGACTCAGCTACCCAGGTCCCCAATAATGATAAATGTTTTAACAGCTTCCTGCTCACACCAAATAAAATTCAAGCTCCTTAGCCTATAATCCTACCAGCCAGCCCTAAATACCATTATCCTCATACTTTCCCTTTACTCATCTTCCTCTCCCCTCCTCCAAAACCCCAATCTGTGTTTCTGTCTCTTTCTTTAGCCAAACAAATACACCTAAATATATTTTGGTACCCACAAGACACAAAATGTTATGCTTGGCTTTGTTTTTCTTCTACCTGAAATGCCTTCCGTATTACCTGTGCCTTGATTTATCCCCTGCATGCTCCCTTCCCCCCATGTGCACATTAAAAGAAAATGTTAGAAAAAATCCCTCCCGCCTATGAAATTTCACAGTCTTTACACTGCTATCTTTATTGTTTTTGAAAGAAAATTTATGGGGGCGCTTGGGTGGCTCAGTCAGTTGAGCATCTGACAAGATCTCAGAGTTGTGGCATTGAGCCCCACATATCTGCACTGAATGTGTTTGAGATTCTCTCTGTCCCTCAAAAAACAAACAAACAAAATTAATACTTATGTATCTCTTAATGTTCATACATAAAAGTACATGGTTCTTGTTTTTTTTTTTTTTTAATTTTTTTTCAACGTTTATTTATTTTGGGGACAGAGAGAGACAGAGCATGAACAGGGGAGGGGCAGAGAGAGAGAGGGAGACACAGAATCGGAAACAGGCTCCAGGCTCCGAGCCATCAGCCCAGAGCCTGACGCGGGGCTCGAACTCACGGACCGCAAGATCGTGACCTGGCTGAAGTCGGACGCTCAACCGACTGCGCCACCCAGGCGCCCCAAAGTACATGGTTCTTATGCATGTAAGAAACTCAGTTAAGTTTATAGAAATAATTTCCACTATATGTCATCTCCAATGCATATCCAAGTCAAGAAATAGGCTTTATGTTATTTATTTAAAATGCTTCAAATAAAAAGGTGAAGACTACATTAGTATTTTTTTAACCACAAAAAATTGGAAAATGTTCTTGGTCTAAATAAGCTGTTGCTGTTTTCTCTTTCCAAACTCTCTGGATTTCTATTTCGTTCTCCCTCTTTAAAAAATGTCATCATGGGAGTGTGTGGGTGGCTCAATTAGTTGGGCATCTCACTTTGGTTCAGGTCATGATCTCTCCTGAGTTCAAGCCTTCTGTCAGGCTCACTACCTTCAAAGCAGAGCCTGATTCAGATCCCCTGTGTCTCTCCTTTTGCCCCTCTCCTGATCATGTACTCTCTCAAAATAAATAAAACATTAAAAAAAAAAAAGGCCATTATGGGGCGCCTGGGTGGCTAGGTCGGTTAGGTAGTTAACTTTGGCTCAGGTCATCTCAGGGTTTGTGAGTTTGAGCCCTGCTTTGGGCTCTGTGTTGACAGCTCAGAGCCTGGAGCATGCTTCGGATTCTGTGTCTCCCTCTCTCTCTGCCCCTCCCCCACTTACACTCTGTCTCTCTCTCTCTCTCAAAATAATAAACATTAAAAAAATATGGAAAATAAAATTTAAAATGCCATTATGAAAGGATAAACTTTAAAAATTTTATAAGCAAAATTAAGTAAAACTACATGTAATTGGATCAATTAAGAATGCCATAAAAATGATACAGTAAAGGATCTTTAAGTTTCCTGGTGAAAAATCAATCTCATTAGCTCTGATAAAGTTTAACCTGGATCATCATAGTGGAAGAAGAACTTTCCACTGTCCTTGCCCACCGTCCCCAAATACCAACTGAGCCTATTACCAAGAGATGAGAGAGGCAAGTGGAGTCCAACTTCTCTAGCGGAGAAGTTCCAGCATTCTAGTGGAGAAGTTCCAGAAGTAGGCAAAAAATTAAAAATTAAAAAAAAAAAGGAAAACAGAAAAAAAAAAGAAAAGAGAGAGAGAACACACAACAAAATGAGGAAGAGGAGTAGTTTCACTTTAAT